CCAAGATAATTATAAAAATTAAAATTAAATAAGAAAACTGAAATTACATTAATCCTGAAATTATCCCTAGATTTAATTTGAAGATTACAAAAATTACTAATGGTAAAAAATCTCACTTTTTTAATTTGGAGATTGGAAAATCGGTCAAAATTACATAAATGGCCATGATTTAATTATAAAGATGACATAAATGCTCAATAAAAAAATTTAAATTGCATGAATCCCGACCCGAGATAGTAGCATCCCGAACCCACATTCCATAATTTCGGACTGGGATAGCATTTTATACTATCYCCGATCTGGGAATGTGCAATCCTTGTCTAGGAATGCGATATCCTAGTCCGGATTCTTGCAATTCTCTTTTTTTGTACGCTAATGATAAATCCTTCTCTTTTTCATCTTCACTTGATTGTCGACTTCCGTTACAAGTTTTGGATTGTAATTTGTSAGAAGAGGATTTTAGAAGTATAATTCTAATCGTCTCTTGCATTGGTAAAGACTTAGATTCATCTGCTAAGATAAAAATAAATAAATAAATAAATTTGAAAAAAAATTACTCATACTCCCARGTGACTTGCAYTAAGACTTGTCTCCCTCTAGAATTATCGTTCTGCCTCAACCGTTTTTGAGTTTTTGGAGAATTTTTTTTTGTGGATTCTGTTGATTCTTAAATTAAAATGTTGTTATTTAAGAAACTGTGAGATTTAATGTGAGAGATTGACAGTGGGAATGGATAATTTTACTTTAAAAAGGAAAAAATAGGGATATTTTGATAATTTTATAAAGACAAAAATGGAAAAGAGTTACAAATTGGAATGGAATGGATCTAGAAACCAAATAGATTATAAAATGGAGTTAGAAAGCCCAATTATGGTAATATTTTAAAAGTTCGTCGGTACACYATGCAAGTTTATTTTTACAATTAAAAGTTTGTAATAATTACTATAGTTGAACAATGATTTATACAAGTTTTCCTAAAAAAACAAATATTGTAAATAAGTTTTTTTCGTTCTGTTTCTTTTTTTTTTCTTTTTGTTTCTTTTTGTTTTTTTAAATTTTCTCACAAAATAACTCTCCTTTTTTCGTTTTGTTTCTTTCTTTTTTTGGTTTTTTTTTTTAAATTTCCTGATAAAATAACTCTGCTCTTTTTGGTTTTGTTTTTGTTTTTTAATTTGCTGACAAAATATCTCTTAAGCTGCCTCATGTCTTTTCCTGAAAAAAGTATCCTTCAACCTTGTCTCACGGTCATGTGATCAAATCTTACCTTCTACTTATTAATTCTTTTTTTTATTAAAATATGTCTAATTATTTTTAAAAAGTTTTTTATTGGACAAAATATGTCTAATTTTTTTAAATAAGTCTTTTTTTGACAAAATATGTCTGATTCTTTTAATTTAAAAAGGTCATTTTAAATTATTTTTACCAAATATATTTAATTAAATTTATATGGCGGAATGTATTTCTTTTAATAAATTTAAGTTCATAATCCTAAAGTTAGATAAATGTYATAAATTTTTTTTCTGTTAGAAAGAAAAGAAAAAAAAAGCAGACTTTACAGCAACGGTACCAAAGTGATAGTTTTAATTTCTATCTTTCTGTTAAGTTTATTGTGATTCGTCTTATTAATTTAAAAAATCTACAGAAACTTACTCATTTAATAATCAAGATTCTCAAATTAAGTTTGATTAATTCATAACATCAACGGTAAAAATCAATTATTTTCATATTAAAACATGTCTTTTCTGATTCATTTGACACATAAGATTATTTTTTTCAACAAATTTTCAAATGCTTTCTAAAAAAAACAACAAAATGAAAATGAAAATCTGTCGAATGGTAAATTGTGTGACACCTTTTTAAATTCAAGGGAAAAATTACAGCATTGTCCAATTGYAAGGTGAAAATTGATAAACATCGCCAAATTCTAGTATAAAATTGATATTTTTCGATTATGTTATTTTTATGCATTTGTGCCCCTCGTGACATAGAATCCTAGATCGGCCACTGAGTGAGAATATAATATATATATATATATATATATATATATATATATATTAAAATGTCGTTTGGAAAATTTTTTTGAGAGATATTACCATTTGCTAGAAAATTTAAACAAATAGTTAAATTGAAGGTAGATGTCCCTGGGACAATTTCCTTGGCAAGTATATTGGTCCTTAGGATATCACCTATAATGAAGTCTTGTGTTCGAATTTTTTGGTGAGCTTAATACTAAATATTCTTGATATCTCTTGATTACGAGCTTTAAAACATGCGAGGTTATAAAGAAAAATGTAGGCTGATAAGCAAAAAGCCTCAATTTGACAATCTCACACCCCATCCAACAAAAGAAAGCATCTCTTCTAAACCTTTTTTTGGGTYTTTTAAGTAAGGTATATTCCTACAACATTGTCATGGTAGTTGGAATATGATTTTAAAAAATAATAAAATAAAGGTTCTTTTGTAATCAACYATCCAATCTTGCTTGTTAGAGTATCATGTCAAATATGTATTTGATTTTTTTCCCTTTTTTTAGTTATATTATACTTCTGACTCCCTTTTATTAGTATGAGAACAATATGTGAGATGTGAAAATCAAACTCATGTCCTCTTAATAGATATATATACTTTTATCAATTGAGTTATACTCAGATTGACAATATATATCAAACGTGTCAATCCGAACATAGTATAATAGATAGACACAAATAAACTCAAAATATAAGATAAAATAAAATATAGTCTAGTAAAGTTTGATTTTATATTTCTTTAAATAGTTAAAATATATATATATATATATATATTGTAAAGTATTTTATTTAACTATTTTAATTAATGTAAAGAATATTGTAAAGTACTCTATCATATTAGATTGTGAAATAAATTAAAAAAAAAAAACTGAAAACGATTATTAACTTTCATGGGTATAATACCATGTTGTGAGAATCATTAACCGATTTTTTCATTCCTTTTTAATTTGGTAATTGCATTCTTAAAAAACTGTAATCTCATTCTTAGATTTGAACTTATTTTTATCCGTTAGAGATAAATGTCAATTACCATTAACTTTAAATTCATGTTAGCGGATACTAATTTGTCGTTAAAAGCTATACAAATCGAGATAAATCAAAAATTAAAATTAGATTTAAATATTACTTTGGTTAGGGTATTATTTTGTTYATTATGACCTATGTACTTTCAAAATGTCTTTTTTTTTCCTAAAGAATTCAAAATGTCGTCGTACTTTCAAATTTGTCCATTTTAATCTTTGTATTTTCAAAACGTCTATTTTAGTCTTTGTACTTTWAAAAAGTGATTGTTTGGTCCCTACATTTTATTTTCTAATCTCATTTTTTTAAATCACAATTTCAACACGACATTACATTTAGTAATTTTTTTAAAATGTAACAATAACTTTGTATTAAATGGTTTCTATTGTATATAAAACTTGTGTTAAAATTTAGCAAACAAAGACTAAAATTATCACTTTTAAAATATACAGACACCAAAATGAATGTTTGAAAATACATGAACTAAAATAGAAAAAATTTAGGTACCAAAATGAACAAAATAAAGTACGGGATCAAAGCAAAATATTTTTATCAAAATAAAAATATGAAAATATTTATATATTTATATATTTTATTTAATTGATATAGTAAAAATAATAAAATGTAACTTAAAATTTATTAAAAATGTGGTGAGATCATGCAATTTTACGCACTTGTAAAGATGAAATAAATTGAGTGTGAAAAGTTATAATGTAAAATATTTTGCCTCCATTTACATRAATTAATTCGATTATGAAATGTAAAAACGAGCATAGCTTAGTGGTAATTGGCATATATCTCAAACYAAGAGGTTTCGAGTTTGAACCCCCTCTCCACATGTTGTACTAAAAAAAATTCAATTATGAAATATTTTTTATAATTATATGCAGTTATAGAATATGAAAATTTTAAAATGTAAAAAATTTTATAATTCTTTCGTTATTTTCAATTATAAATTTATAAAGACAAAATTATAGTATAAACAAAGAGAGAGTATGATACTCCTACAGTACATAAATTTTACCTACTTTACTTCTGTAAAAAATACTAACGATATGTTTGCAAGTAGAACMTTTGAAGGTCGAGAAACTTGAAAGTTATTCCAACCCAAGTATCAAGTGGGTTCGAATCTTCAATCCTGATCTGCTATTAGTGCATACTAATTAGAAGTTAAATGCAAATAAAAGGCGATTTAAAAAAAACGTTAAAGAATACTTTTGATTGTGTATTTTCAATGAAGTTAAGATTTAGTCATTGAACTTTAGTTTGTAATGATTTAGTGTACGTTTAAATTGGTAATAAATTAGTCCTCTTAACAATTTAGTCTAAGTAGTTTTAAATTTTTAACGATTTAGTCCTAATGTGAAAAATTTTGTGGATCGGTAAACCGATGAACGACCAAATGTATTTGTAAATTATAAAAACTAAATAAAACTTTTAGATAGGAACTAAATTGTTACAAATTTTAAAATATAAAAATTAAATTGTTACCCATTTAAGAGTAGAATGACTAAATTGTTACGGAT